GTGGCCGCAGGCCGAGGGAGCACAGCCCGTCCCGCGCTCCCGGCCCGCGGCCCGCCGACCCCGGTTCTGGCCTGGCACTTGGTGGGGCCGGCGGCGAGCCCTTACCCGAGGGCTCTCCGGTCTGCCCTCCTGCTGCTGCTCGGTGCTGCTCCTGGGCGCTGTCAGCTTTCCAGCGCCACGCTGGCTTCTGGCCCAGACTGGTTTTGAACCACGATCCCCAGATCTCGGCCTCCTGAGTAGCTGGCACCGGCGAAGGGCTGAGACTTGAGGAGGAGGAGGAGAAGGCCCGCTCGCGGCCTTCGTCGGGCCCTGCAGTTAGGCAGGGCGGGCTGCTGGAGGGGTGGCTGCCGGCCCGGGAAGCCCGGCCTCACCGAGGAGCCGCACAGCTCCACCGGGGGCAGGCGGTGGCCAGGGGCTGGTGGGCGGGAGACTCACGAGGTGGAGGCTGGGCCTTGGAGTGGGGCCTTCCTTGGCTGCTGCCCACTCCCAGAGCCTGCAGAGCGAGAGCAGTGTGTGCGTGTGTGTGCACACGCGCGTGTGTGTGGGGGGAACGGTTAACTCCAGGAAGAGGTGGCCTTAGGTGTTAATGAAACCAGCCCCAGGAGGTCAGGGCTGCAGCCACAGTGCTGCAGGAATCCATCCGCTGCGCCCAGCGTGTGTCCACGGCAGGCCCTAACCTCATGCCCAGGGGAGGGAAGGAGGGGCGCCTCTGAGGAAGGGGAGGACAGACCCTTGCCTTGCTGTCTGCTTTACTGTCTCTTCCAGAATCTCACCGTGTGGCTGGTCAGGGAGGGCAGTGTCATGCGGCTCTGTCTAGCCGCTGGTCCGTCTGTTTTGGCCTGGTCACCTTCCTGTGCTGGTCCTGGTGCATACCTCCCTGACCCCAGAGCTAGAATCCCTGAGGAGGCCTCTGCGAGGCCTCTGATTGGCTCTCATTTCCAGCTCTGTACCAATTGCTATGTTTTGGCCATTGGCTCACAGCCTGGCAGTGATGTGTGGCACCAGGGGTGACAGCTCTGCACCTGCTGGGGGGGGGGAGGAAGAGGGCTGGAGCAGATGCAGGAAGGGCCCTGAGGCAGAGGCTGGGGGGGGTTCGAGGTAAGGAGAGGAGCGTGTGGAGGGCAGACACCACTGGAGCAGTGGCTGCAGGAATCAGTTGGGTGTGGGCCGTGAGCGGAGCGGGGCTCCCTGGCCTGTGGGGCTGGGCTGCTCACACCTGTCCTGTAAGTGCTGTGTGACGCTATCCAACTCACCGTGTCTCTGTTGAGCCCCTCGGCCGCCACGCAGTAGCCGTGCCTGCCTCCCAGGGCACCGGCCCAGCACCCGCTTCTGTTGCACCCTGCCTGAGGCAGGACGGGCACAGAAAGACAGATGGCCCCTGGTCTCTGGGCCAAGGGGAGCCATGGCTGGAGGTGAGGAGGGCATGCTCGGGCCTGATCTGCGTCCCCTGGGCAGGGCCTGTGTGAAGCTGGCCCGGGAGCGGGTAGGAAGATGGGATGAGGAGGACGAAGGCAGTTAACTAAGGGCAGCATCTCCAGCACTTAGGGATCTCCGGTGACATGCTTCTCCGAAGCATACCCACAGCGCAGCCCTGGCCGCTCCAGGGCTCCACGACCCAGGGCCACGGAGCCTGTCACAGCCCAGTTCTCTGGACCCAAGAGACTGACCTGCTCAGGAGGGAGGGGCACGAGGCACAGCCCGTGCGCACCTGCCACCACAGGCCCGAGGAGCGGACGCCGCTGACCGCAGAGCTGCCTGCTATGGGCATGCGCGTGGATCCCACTCTGGCACCCAGGTGCCAGTGCTCTCCTGGCCGTCCTCAGCCCCCGTTCATGCTGCCCCAGGCATCCTGGGGCCGGGATGCCCCCACCCTGTGCAGAACTCAAGCTCCAGGCTCAAGGGGTGGAAGGAAGGGCTGCCGCTCGCTGGCTCAGGTAGAAGGGGCGGGGCAGAGAAGCCCCTAGCTCTGGGGCTGTGCCGGGCTACCATGGGGCGTCAAGTCTGGAGGACCCAGTCCTGCGAGGCTCTGGCTCCGCCAGCCTGGGGAGGGGCCTGACGGGGGGGAGGGCGCTGCCTGCGGGCCTATCCCCTCCCGCTGGCCAGGGCCTCTGGAGGCTCAGGACGTGTCTGGATCTAGCTTTCAGCTTCGGAGGGCAGTTGCGGCTGAGCAGGTGCTGTGGTGGCTTCCGGTGGCATCTGAAGGGAGTAGACAGATGGGGGCTGGGCACCCAGCAGGGACGGGCGCTCCCTGCCAGCCCTGCCCCAGAGGTCTATCTGGGGACATGGATGTGGGCAGAGCGGGCTCAACCCTGTCCCTGCACCGCACGGCTGACGTGAGGCGCAGGGGCTCGCAGTGGTGTTGCCGATACTGAGCTCAGGTCGGAGTCAGACCTGCACACGCGTCTGGTAGGAGGCGGCAGCTCACCCTGCACCAAGCCCCCGCTTCCAGAGGCCCGCGCCGGGCATGCTGAGCCAGCAGGCCTTGCTCCAGAGCTCTGGCAGCTCTGAGCAAATGAGGACCCAAGGCCAGAGGATGACGGCTGGAGGACGGGGCTGGGGCAGGGCCTCTCCCCCAAGGCCCAGAGGTGACAAGCCCTAGCGGGACACCAGTGACTCACACCTGTAATGCTACTTAGGAGGCTAAGCTCTGGGGATCATGGTTCAAAGCCAGGACAGGCAGGAAAGCACACAAGACTTTCATCTCTAATTAACCACCAAAAAGCCAGAAGTGTAAGTGTGGCCCAAGTGGTAGAATGCTAGCCAGTAGCACAAAGGTAAAGGGACAAGAAGGAAGAGGAAGCACGCGGGACTGAGTTTAGCCCCAGGCCTGGCACACAAAGAAGAAGAAACAGGGATTCTTAATCAGATTTATTTTCTTCTAATAAGACAGTTTAGCATTTCAAAGTTTCGCATTCTACAGTCTTACAAACTTTAGTTATTAGCATCGGAAACAAAAACATCGCAAGACCTCAAAACAAATAAATACCAAATAAAACCACACACATTGTACAGTAAACAAAAGTATGGAACATAATAATGCTTCAGGAATCAGATATGTTGCTAACTCCTAGTAACAACAATTATTGCTGAGCAATAACTCACACCATCCTTGTTTTCTTAGAAGAGCAGAGGAACGCAGGACTCGAGTCACTGGTCACGATCACTTGGACTGTCAAGATGGGTCCTCACAGCGAGCCGCTACTACAGACGGCAATTTGTAAAACAGGCAGATTAAAAATACAGTCAAATGAGAGATTGGCCTTCTTTGGTCTTCGTGTTTTTGGGTAATAGAACTGAACGTAAGAGGTGTACCGTCAGAGAACAGAATGCAATTCTAGAAACGTACCACAGTCTACGTGACTTCCACACTTCCTTCATCACAGAGGTTCTAGGTGTTTCTTATGGAAATCCTTCGAAATAAGGCCGGCTTTGGGGTTTCCAATTAAGTTGTTTAGTTTGCTCGTGAAGGTTGTCTTACTTGTCTAAGGGGACTAAGGTATAAAACCACACGCCGCTCCTACACGAGTGGCGCAGGGACTCTGGACCCTTAACCTTGGACTCCAAACCCTTTCTCACGCTGAGCTCACAAGACAGACTCCAGACGCGGGGCGAGTGGGAGGGGCTGCACCCCCCCCCCAACTGACCTCCCTGCGGGTCACACTCTGCCCACCTGCCTGGCGTCCAAGGCACACTTCAATAAGCGGTGACACCTCAGGGGCCACGGTGGTCTGCCAGGCAGCGCCATGGCCGGACGCCCGGCCCGCCTGCAACCCCGACCTCACCGACACCCCTCATGGACACGGGTTACTCTGGGAAGAAAACAAAACTATGATTTGCACACGGAAGACAGAACCATGGTCTTGGGCCGAGAAGTGGGTGTGGGTTCAGGCCTCCCTCAAATGCAGAGGCCCGGGCCTCGCAGCCTCCAAGTGAAAATCTGGACTGAAAGTAAAGAAAAAAAGCAGCATCTGGAGCTCTGTGGGGCGCTCCCGCGTGCGCGTGCGTGGCTGCCCGGCAGAGGCTTCCCTGTGGCGCCAGAGTCTGCCACTGACCCGTGGCTGTGGCGGAGGCCTGAGCCGGGACGGGATCGCACGCTGCTGAGGCCTGCCCTAGCACCCGATCCTTTTCTGGGTGCGACCTGCTCGCTGCTGGGGCCTGCACTGACCGTCGGCGCTGCCAGCGTCAAAGGAAGGAGTGTTGGTAATGACAAGCCGGGATGGCGGGCATCTGGCGATGGCGTGGCACCACAGGGAAGCCGGTGCAGCAGGAATGTCCGAGGGTGGGGGTGTGCAGGCCCTGGTGACCCCCAGCAGGTCGGAGCCCCGCCTCCCCACGAGGAAACCGGGATGGGCAGAGAAGGGAGAGGCGTGACGCCACCGCCGAGCCAGGGCCCCTTTTTGGCCGGTTTGGGAGCACAGGGCCATGGTGCTGTCCAGGCAGAGCTGCTCTGGAGAGGAAAGGGACCAAGACCAAGACGGGAGCCTCTCCGCATCCTCTGCTGGTCTGCACGGGGCACGTGTCAGTGTGCCCAGGCTTAGTCCGGGCTCCTGGGAGCTGGGGGTGGGGGTGGGGCTGCCCGCCTTCCACTCAGACTCACTGCATCGCCCGCCCCCCCATCCCAAAGCCACCTCCAGCGGGCTCTGTCTGGTCTCTAAGAGCCAAAGGACGCCCAGCCACGGCCCCCAACACCTCTACCGCACCCCTGAGCACCTGGCCTTGCTGGGAAGGCCTTCACTCTCAGCCTCTCTTGTGCCAGGGGCGGGGCCTCTGGGCCAGCAGAAACAGCAAGCTGAGTCCCTTTCCCTCAGAGCCAAAGACTTAGTTTCTTCAAAAGGTAAACAGTCGTGTCCCTGTACATAAAAGCCAACACCCAGACACACATGAGGACCCGCGCTCTGCTCTCTGGAGCCGAGGCCCTGTGCAGGCAGAGGGCGCCCTGCCGCCGCCGGACCTGCTGCCGGGCGCCAGCCGCACGGGCATCCAAGCCCCAAAACGGCCCAGGCTGCAAGCACCAAAGGGGCACTGAGGAATATGGGGGTGAGCAGCACAAGCACACGGCAGGACGTGTCCAGCACCTCCCGGAACGGTGTTCTAGCAGGGCCGTGACAAACGCGAGCGCGCGTGCCGGGCAGACACACGGCGCCCCACTGTTGCACTGTTACCAGGTCACACGAAAGATGGCTGCAAAGAGCCTACCCTCATCTCGGGACAGTGTACCCCAGCTTTCATATGGGCGTTGGGGCAAGGTGGGGGGGAGGGGAGCACACCACATCCCCAGGAGACCCCTTGGCAAAGTCCCAGGAGAGGGGAAGTACCAGCACACCCAGGCCGCACCCCGCCGGGGTCTGCCGCTGCCCCCGCCCTCCCCGGCCACGTGTCTCCGGGGACTGGATGACTTGTTGAATGAACAGGCCGCGGGCATGCCGCTGCCGGCCCTGGCTGCAGAGCCCGGGGTGTGGGCTTTCCGGGGCCTCCATCCATCCCTGGGGCGGAGCCAGGGCCAGCCAGGAGCCAGGGCTGCCGGTGCTGGGCAGTGAACTCGGCAGCTTCCGCTCGAGTCCCTTTGTTCTGAGCCAGGGCGCGGATCTAGCCCTCGGCCGTCCCAGGAGAGCGCCTGGACAAGCAGGGCGCGGAGCAGGGTTTCAACATGGAGGGGCATGGAACCAAAGAGGCGGCGGATGGAAGCGCGGGATGAGTGTGCGAGGAGGGCACTTCCAGCAGGCACTGGGGCAAAGGCACACCCAGGACAGATGGCAGCACCAGAGACAAGATGGGCCACCGGGGCACCAACCCAGCAGTCCCCGCGCGACCACGGGCGAGCCCAGAGGCAGGCAGTCGGGAGCACGCGGCCCAGCTGGCCAATGGTGGGCGCGCCTTTTGGGCAAGTGCACAGATGTGGTGTTCGCACACATTGGTTTTGCCTAAGAAGCACCCGTCACGTGTAGCACCCGTCAGTGTAAGAGCACCATGGTGTGTGGTGCATAGCGAAAGGGGCACAGGGGCAGGGCTCCAGGCTTCCAGTCACAGGTGGACACGCGAGAGGCGGCGACAGGGAGGTGACAACGCCGCCTGGCGCAGGCGCGGGCTGCGCCGTCCGCCTGGCACCGCTCCCGACCGGGTGGCGAGGGCTGTGCAGCAGCCAGCCCAGGCATGACTCCAGAGCGCGGTCCCCCGGAGTGCTCGGGGTTCTGCTTTGGGCTGGGCGGGCTCCCAGGGCCTGGGTGGGGACGCGGAGAGGCGCGGCTTCTCACACCAGCCTCCTTGGGAGTGGGGCCGAGAGTTTGGAATCTGTGGTAATTAAGCAGTGAAGACTCGAGGAGCTGTGGATGGAGCTTGGCTTCCCCCGGAAGGTATGGAGTTGCTGAGGGCCCTCGTGGACACAAAGATCTAGCCGTGGAGAGAGAGTCTGCGGAAGCTATCACTTTTGACAATCACGCTGAACACAAACCCACCCGGGGCAAAAAGCAGCATGTCACAACTAAGGCACATGTACCGTACGCCACCATCTCTAAGCTAAGCCGTCGCTTTCAGAGATCACTGAGCAAACGCAGCAGCACGACAGAACGAAGCAACACCAGCCGGGCCCCTGCAGCACAGCCCCCGCCCCCACCCGGCACTGGACGCGGGAGGCCTGTGCGGTCAGCAACAGAGCTCGTCTAAACGTGGGGCAGAATTTTAAAAACCTACAGGATTTTGTTTAGAACTCCAAAGTTCAACTAACGCCCTATTTTAGGGTGAAAACAATTATAAGTCTGAAAATGATGCACAGCATCCATGAGCAATGTTCCTTTCATAATAATTTTGAAGTAGTGTCATTAACTACGACAGATATTGAAGGTTTACATTTCTAACGAGAAATAACAACAGGTTGAATATTCTCTTTCCTATCACAAGTGATAACCAGTGTTTGATAGTTTACATTTTCTTCCAAGAAATATCAGTCCTTCAACGTTTTCAAATAAAATGTTTGCAGTAACAATTATCTGTAGAACTTTAAATTAAAAAATGATTTCTGAATTTAGAAACTTAAAAAAAACAAAGACCTGGGTGTACGTCAGGGTCTTCTGACAAGCAAATTATTAAAATGGAGACCAGATGAGGCCTGAAAAATAGACAATATACTCTATTTGAAACAAGATTGCACTCTGAATCTTAGAATGAATATATCAGAACTGTGTTATTATTTTGTAAAATCTCCTTTTACTTGACATGCTGACGGGCCCAGCCACCCCCATGTGTATTTTCTTTGTTTGATGTTCAAGTTTAAGGAAGAAAAATCACGTTTCTTTTGTTTAGCATATATGTTTTCCACCTTAATTAACTAGATCTTTAGAAATGAAAATGGAACTTCTCTGACAGCAATATTTATCTTGCTGAAGGTAAGTAATTCTTCAGAGTGGAGTGTGGCTGAGTCTATTAGAAACATATCGGGGTCTGTTTTCACGTGTGGCGCCTCCCGCTGGCCGCACATCCTCCTCCTGCCGCTTCCTCTTTTCTACAAGATCCTTTCCTGAGCGCGAGGACCTCAGTGAAGACAGACCGGTGCAAGCCCCCCAGAGGAGTTACCTTCTGCGAAATCCGCCTCCGGCCGCTGTCAGGGGTCAGGCAGGTCCGAAGTATCCACTATGACTTTAATAAAAATTGTATCATCTTTAATATACGTCCCGTTTTCTAGAACAGTTTGGGCCACAAAGACGGGGCAGCCGGAGGCGATGTTCATCTCTCCGGTGGGCTTCTTGAAGCTGCTGCTGTTGGGGTCGGGTTTGAACGCATCACCCAGGTGACGCCGGGAGGAGCCCTGATCCATCAACATGAGCGTCACTTTCTGCTTAAATGGCCACGGTAGCAAAGCATCATATTCTCCACGCATGATGACAAAGAAGAGTGACAGATGTGTCCCTTTCCCCATCCCATCCCCGTTCAGGTAGACCCGGGCACACATCTTATAGCCAAAGTAGCCAGTGTAGAAGGGCTGGCTGTAGAGAGACAGGGTCTTCCCCATGACGGCCTCCTGCTTCCGGCGCTTATAATCCCGGATCTTCCAGATCAGCACGCCGTTGTAGCTGGCGGTCTCCAGCACCTGGAACCGAAGGTCCATGTCGGCCAGGCGGATGTCATGAACACTCAGCATCTGGTCATGCCTGCTCAGCTGGGACTCCAGCAAGCCTGCCGCAGGCGAGGACAGACGCGGTGGTGAGACTCGCGAACAGCACAGGGTTAGGAAAGCAAATGGCACCATCCAGCCCCTCCACAGCCATACCCAGGCCAGCAAGGCGGCTGACATGGCACAGAAGCCCGAGCTGGGCTGTGGCAGGTGGCTGTTCCCAGACATGGACACTGATCTCCTCCCTCCCCCAGGTAGCAGCAGTGCACGCCTGCTGAGGTGGCTCGCTCCAGGTGGACCGCCAGGGCCTACATTTTCCTGCTCTGCAGCCCCGATGCCCGCAGGGCCGGCAGGCTGAGTGTAAGCTGTCACCTTCTCTATTCCAACCCCTCATCTCAGGTCCGCTGACTCCAACCCCACAGCACCACAATTCTCCCATTCCCTCAACCATTAATCCTTCCCACGGGAACAATCGCAGCACCCATCTGGGCCCAGAGCCACGGGACTCATCTGCTGACGAGGGCAGGAAGAGGCTCATCCATTGCCGCTCCTGCCATGTCTGCCCCGGCTCCGGACTAGCCCTGATCTACGGCTCCCCTTATGGCCACAACCTCTCACTCTTGGCCATGCTGGACAGCACACAGAGGAACCAGTTTAAGGGCAAGCCCCTGTCTCCACGGAGGACCCAGAGCCCGCGTCTGCGCGTGCACCATTTACCTGTGTTTCGCGCCGCCTGCCCCGCACTTTTGTCCACACTCTCCAGCTCGGTCACACGGTTCTGGAGAGACTCCACGCTGCTCTTCATGCTGTCTGCTTCCTCCCAGTTCTGCCGGAAGGGTCGGATCTCCTTGTCGAGCTCTTTCAGTTTCTCCGCTTGGCTGTCTATTACTCGCTTCCAGACCAAAGGTGTTAAAAGGCAAGCACCAGTCAGGTTTCTCAGAAAACACTGTGCTGCCACCCACTACGCACAGGCCAGCGAGAAGGGGCGCAGTAGGCCCCGCACACTGGAAGAGGCCTCTGGGAGCTGGGTGGGGCAGGGAGCACTCTGCACGGGGCACACACGTGCTAGACACTGTTGGCTCTAGAATCCTAGCTACTCAGGAGGCTGAGCTTGAGGTTCAAAGCCAGCCCTGGCAGAAAAATCCCTGTGAGACTCGTCTCCAATTAACCACTCAAAAACTGGTAGTGCAGCCATGGCTCAAGTAGTAGAGCAAAAAAAGATCAGAGATAGTACCCAGGTCCTACGTTCAAGCCCCAGGGCCAGAACAAAAATTAACTAAAATGAAACTCTGACTTTTGTCTTCTCTGTGTCTCTCTCCATGGAGCAGACTTCTGATTCTCCTCCGCTTCCTCATGAGTCCGAGAATACTCAACAATACTTTCCCTGTTTTTACTTCTCTGCCTCCATTGCCCCGTCACTCACTCCCATTTGCCTTCATTTGTTCAACTGCAAGAAGTCTTCAAAACCACATACTATGAAGTGATGAAACTGGATTAAAAACCAGTGTAGATGAAAACTGATGGGAGGAGGGAGAAGAGGGCCTGGGAAGGTGGCTCAGTGGTAGAGCGCTTGCCTCACATGCATGAAGTCCTGGGTTCGATTCCTCAGTACCACATAAGCAGAAAAAGCCGGAAGTGATGCTGTGGCTCAAGTGGTAGAGCGCTCGCCTTGAGCTGAAGAGCTGAGGGACAG